AACTGGTTCAGGGGGTCAGTTTCTACCCCCTGAAATAGGTTAGACCCCTAAATACCAAGTGTAGGGGCTATCAAAGGTGCCCCGGTACAATATGTATCAACTGATACGTCCTGATACGTAATGAAATTTTAATCCTTGGGCTCACGAGCCTCATAAGACGAGTTTTATTAGGACTGAGTTCAGCTCGATTAGCAAATGAGCCTATATATTAGGTTCGAGCTTGGCTCGAAGCTCGATTTAAACCAAGCCAAATCTAGTTTTTCATGAGCCAAGCTCAATTAACTCGTAAAAAGCTTGATTCATTTCCACCCCTACTTCACACATAGCCTTTCATCATTAATCCACCTTCTAATCCTAATGGTGTTTGCATCGTGGCCATTTTAATGACAGGAATCTGGATTTGCTTCTTATAGAGCAAATCTCACACCAACCTCATAGTGCTTTTAGCCGTGAATTGGAAACATTTCCCATATTTGTATGTTGTCATTCATGAGAAGATGTTCTCAATGTATGGTTGCAATGTGCTATGAGGTTAGTGTGAGATGAGCTTTGTAAGGAGCAAATCGGATTTCACTTGTTGGAAATTGGGAAAGTTGTTGGGTTGTGCAAATAATCCAAAGGTAATTTGTTTGTTCCACCAATGTGTCACCTTTGATATAAAGCTGAAAACACACACAAAAAAGTTGTTTTTACAAAAAGCGAGACACAAAAGCCCATTCACCACATGAGTGCCATACAGATGTTTTACATGGTTTTTAAAATCGATTTGGAGACCGAACCGGTCAGGGGTCCGGTTACTGGGTCGAACGGTCCAACCATTCAAATTGAATGGTTGGCCCGTTCTGACAAAAATTTAAATAAAAATAAAAAGCAGTCAAAACCATTCAAATGGTTCGAATGGTTAACCGCTCGGGTCAGCAGTTTGCTGACCAAAATCAATGGTTTTTGAAGAAAATCCGGTTTTGGGAAAAACCATGAACCGGTTTCCGTCCAACCATCCAGTCGGTCTGATTTTGAAAACCATGGTTTTAACCTTACCTTTTTCTTAGGGAAATTTTCAAATTAGTACCATATACTTTGGGCCTCATTTCACTTTAATTCTCAAACTTCAAAACGTGTCAATCCAATCCAAAACGTGCCAATTTAGTATCTACCATTAGTCAATCGTTAAATGGCATGTGAAAAAGATATAAATACCCTTCAGATATCATCTAATTTTCTTTATCAACCATGCGCTCCTTCAAGAGCATATAATGGTTGAGAGATTAGTCAATGAAGTTTGAAAATGCTGTAAAGAAACCTGTGCTTCTCTCAAAGTCATAAACTTCGCCACTCACTGGTAATATTCCTGCGATACTCGGGGCATTGCCTTCTCTAAAATCATTAAACCTATCGAACAATTAATCATCTCTCCCAATCAATTCCGGCGAGCCTATCTTCTATGAGGCTTAGCCTTCTCAATTTGTCAAATAACAAGTTAACCGGTCACGTACCACAATCTCTTATAGCTAGTGGATGCTTATAACGGTACTGGTACTAAACACTTCGAATATCCTATTTGTGTTCTCACTTATGGTTTGCTTTCCTGATTGTTTATTGTAGGTAAGGCTGTGTTTGGTTACAGTGTAATTTTATTTGTACAAGTACAAATAGGAATTCCCAGAATTGGTCCCAGGAGCTCATAATGTTAAACTGTTAAAGCTGTGCTCGGAAAAAAAAAGGCACTAATATTCATATTGCATAAAATAGGAAAACTGGGTCTAGTAAGTTACCCTTGAATAGAATTTCTTTTGTTGACATTAGTAGAGACCAAGTAATATGGTATTCTGCTCTAGTAATGTTTAGACCATCAATTATGCGGGTGGGTATTATGCTTAGAGTGCAGTGGTTGGGCTCTGTTTAACCTTCTTGTGGAAAAAGATGATGAGCAGTGTTTTATTTAAAAAGTTAATTTTGATATTTTTAAAAGTTTTAAATCACACATGATGACATGTGATACATCTAACTGATGATTGATTAATGATAGGTACGAAATTAGCACGTTTTGAAAGTTTAGATACTGAATTGACACGTTTTAAAATTTGAAGACCAAAGTGAGACTAAGCCCAAAGTACAAGATACTAATTTGCAGTTTTCTCCTTTTTCATTTAGTTGAATAGTTTTAAGCAAAATGGTTGTGCTTGTGTCTCATTATTCGTGGAAAATTATGTGCACAATCCAACATAGATACACGGGTTGATCTGTTCAACCCAGACAATCGAACCGGTGACCTATGACCTTGAGGCAAAAACTTTTTGGCCTCTAATTCAGTTTTTAAAACATTGCCTTGGACAAAAGTGGTGATTGGGGTTGATGCATTTCATCGCTAGTCTGTTTCATCAAGCTGCCACATCAGCATTGCGTACAGAATCAGCAACACATCATGTTTGGCAATGTTAATTTATGAGAAAACATTTCTGCAATGATTTGCCTAGAATTTCAGAAAGAATGGTGATCCTTTGAGAAAAGAATTTTCACTCATTCAGTATTTGACCTGCTTACTTTGAAAGGAGTACAAATACTAAAGTGCAAAAGCTTGCTTTTTGTATTATTTTGTATGTATTTATATTAAACATATTTGTATATGTACTCTATTCAAACTGAGTCTGAGGCTGAGTTTGCTTGTAATGCATTTTTATGTGCACTAGTATAGATGCATGAGAGTGCAATGAAAAGAATGCAAGTTCAACTTTGTTTTACTGCTTTAAGTCTTTTATTTTTTTTTCATTTGTGTTGCAAACAAATAAAATAAGATAAAATTTGAAACAAAAATAAATAAGAATTTGCACTGAAATCATTTATACTATCATAGTTTGCATCAGTGCAAATAAATTTGCACTACAACAAAATGCAGCCTTAAAGCTCAATTCAGAAAAGAATACAAATACAAATTTCTAGATCTCTTGCCCACAAGAACTCCACCAACACCTACCCACAAAACACTACCTTCATGCATGAGGAACATCTCACTAAGAGGATGAGATATTCCTCATGTGTGGCTACGATGTTATATGGGTAGGCGTGGATAGAATTGTGGAGGATAGAAATGCTCCAAATACAAATGTATTTAATTTAATGCAAAACTTTGTATATGGTATTTCTTGTATTTAAATTGTACATACTTGTATTTGCACTCTTCTCAAATTAATGAGTCAATCACCATTCTGATGTGACAAATTGAAAAGTGAAAAGAAAAAACTATATTTTTAAGATATGATATCTTAATGACTAAAAGTATTTTAATAATAAAAATAAAAACACTTTAAATGCCCATTTAGTGTAAGGCTCCTAACTGGGGTTGCCCATCAGAAAACAAGATTGGGGCGGTGCATTCATGATTCATAGTGAAACAAATCACTTGTAAAAATGCACCCTCTCAAACACCAATTAAGACTTTACCCACCTACCAGACATTACAATGGAGATCTGTCCTGGGGGTCATTAATGATAAAACCTAAAACCCGGGGCTCTCTACCATCTAGCATGAGAATGCAAATTCCCGTCTTCTTGCTCGTGATGCCATTATATATATATATATAATGGCATTGTCTTCTTGCTGGAGATGTCATCATCACTTCTGATTGCGGTGACTGTGGTTGCTGTTGCCGAGCTCTTTGGTGTCCCTTGATGTGGGGGCGGAAGCTGGAGTTGCAAGGTTGAGACTTGCTTCTCCTGAGGTAATCATGTCAACCATGCAAGGTGTTTACTCATTCATGATCAGCAAGGTGTTAAGGTGAGGCGTTGGTGCAGCTTTTGCCCAAGTAAAGAAGTACATACCAAGGACAACAGCAAAGTCATCCAGTTGTGCTATGGAGAGGTCAATCTCTTGGTCTCAAGTGCCGACTTGGAGTCTTACTCAACGAGCCATTATATATACATATATATATATATATATATATATATATATATATATATATATATGCATATATCAGAGGAGATCGGGGTTCCTGTGGGGTGAGGCTCATCCCTACCAACGGAGATGACAATTTCCCCATTCCCATCCCCATCCCCACCCCATTCTAAGTGGATCTCTGTAGGGATCAAGGAAATGAAGAAATTTGCCATCCCCTACTTTGTGTTAGAGAAAAAAATGTCAAAGGTTAGGACTATATGTAGTCTACCTCAAGTTTGGGAGTGCTTGGGTTGGAACCACACTAATAAGCACTTGTTTGAGTTTGAGAAATAAATCCGAAATAAGTATTTGTTCTGAAAATTACTTATTTGAGACATCCAAATTTTAGACTTATTTTTAAGTGCTTATTTCCTTTTTGACCTATCTTGGCCCAGAAAATACCTATACTACCTTTATTTAAAATAAGCACTTTTTCACCAAACGCTCATAAAAATTTATTAAAATAAACACTTAATTATTTTTCAAATAAACACTCCCAAACTTAGCCCATATAAGGCGACCAACATTGTCTAATAACCAATGGAGATCCGTCCTAATTTTGCCACCTATTTTCGTCAACCCAGTTTATATTTACTATGTAGAAGGATCAGGATGAGAATGTAAAGAAGAAAATCAATGCTACCTGCATTTTACAGAAGAAATAAAAAGGCCATTATCAAATGTTAGTACCATGTATCTACGGTCTTGGGTGGGGTGGAACAGACAGACCTAACCTTTGGTATTCGTTTTGCATAAAACAGCTAGCTACTCTCAGACTTGAATTGGATAAATAATTAATAGTCAGTCCGGACTGCAAAGGGCCCCGTATAAGATGGTAACTCTTTTATTATACCTACTGCCCAACATAAATTACATGCATTAAAGAATGTTAAATCTAAGGGCCCATTTGGGAGGGCTGAAGTGCAGCGGTTTTTGGCCTTCTAAGGTGAGCGGTGAAAATTTTGAATAGCTGAATCGGATGTTCATTGATCATTGTTTTTTTGTTAGGGCCTTCTACTTCAGCCTTTTTAAATAGTTTATTTAGAGCGATTCAAAGCAGCTGAACCAGTTTAACTGAATCTTCAGCTCAACCCTCTCAAACGGGCCCTAAGACTCATTAATCGAGGTTAAATCTATTCAACAAAATTGACATTACAATGCTCTTGCACATGCAAGGATACACTTTGCTATAAAAGAAAAGGCAATACTTAAATACTACATCCAAAGCATCAACCACACCAATAGTTCAGTACAAACTCGTTTGGGGAAGAGGAGAGGAGGGCCTCATTCTTCCACATTGCTTATAATTAGTCGCTCCAGCTCACCAGAATCCTCTTCATGTTATCAATCAGCTCCTGCATCTGCTCCCTTGAATGCAAAGGTGATGGATACACACAAGCACAATCCAACCTTCCATCACGTATGGTATCAAACACAGCAATGGAAGGACCTGCACCATGAACAGAAGAGCAACCCATGTAGTCTTCCAGCCCGATGTCTCGATACGATTCATTCGAAGCATCGATCACGGGATCCTCAAACACAGACAGGACGGCCAATCTCAGTGCTGAGGATGGGGTGAGGCGTGGGTTGTCTATGGCCTTGCACATGAGGAAGTTGAGATCATCCATGTCTGAGAAATGCTTGTTGGTTTTTATGGATTTGCTCAAGCTCATGCAGAATTTGGTCGCCAATTCCCATAGATCTTTTCCTCCCTTTATGTCAAATGTGTGTTGCAGAGCAGAGTGGTAGAACCCTGAACCAATTAACCACTTCTTAATAGATCATAACCTAAAAAGCCCAATACGGTTAGCTGTGGAATCGGGTTTAGGGCTAAACCCAAGCCCAATACAGTCAGTCCTACCTCAAGCCCAACTAGACCAATCCAAGCCCAACCTGATGTACTTAAATTTCAGCCCAATCAATCATACCTGAAGTTGAGGCTGGTTAAGTTGGTTTTGTTTGGCCTGTTCAATTCGACTTTGTCCCCACGTATTATGTAATAAATGAAGCCGAGTAGTCGACATGGTTGGTCGGTGTCAACCCCAGAGCAGAGTTGCAGCATTCGCCTCATGAAGATGAAACTACGGTCTGTCCATCCTTTGGCTAATGGGCCTCATGCTCGCCGTACACAACAGACAACACTGTTCCTACCGTAGAATTCCTATTATGTGGGACCAGGCCCATAATAGCTACAATGGCTGAATTAAATCTACTGCTATTTGCTAATATATCATTAATTGAATGCACAATAGTTTGATTATTTTATCAACTGCAAGAAATCATAATTCAGCCACTTTTATCAAATGGACCTTAAGACCCATTTAGGAGGGCTGAACTGAGCTTTCAGCTCAACTGCTTTGAGACACTCTGGATAAGAAGCTAAAGGGGTTGGAGATCTGATTTGAGCTTTTCCCATATTTCCCCAAACATAGCTTATAGACTATCTGTGTAGAATCCACCATGGAAAGGCAAAAGCTGCTTTGCTTCTGCCCTCCCAAATGTACATCATGGAGCAAAAGAAATTTAATAATAATAATAATAATAATAAATAATTTCTTTGTTCCATGATGTACATTTGGGTGGACAACCTTGAACGTAGGGATATTAATGTGTCAGATTTTCGGTGTGGGTTTGATTTAACCAGAAAAGCAGCTTCGACCCTACCAAGATGAAGATGAGACACTGAACCAAAGGTTCAAAATATTAATACACCTGATATGTACAAATAGGCGTATTGAATGTTTGATGCTAAAAATCCGAAACACTTAACAAAGAATTCGATATGATCCACTTGATAAGGGGCATATCACTGAACCCAACCCGACCTGTTACATATATAGTACATATATACATATTCAACCAATGCTATTTTTACAAATGTATAACTGTTGCAAATGTCATCCAGTCTGATTTTCTATGAGCTTAGTCTATCCGACCCTAAACCCAATCAAGATTGACACGACCCTAACCCGATAAAATCGGGTTGCCCATTGGCATCCCTTGTTTCCAAAGCCAAGGGCTCACCAGTCACCACAACCCAAATTTGGGTGCTTCAGATTTTTTGAGGCCCAAGTGCAACTCATCATCAATTGAACAAAGGAAGCCCAAGTGGCTAGCTCCGGGTGAGTTGGTCCGGTTTCAAATTGAATCAACTCAATTTGCATACTTCATGTCACAAATCCTATGTCATACCCACTCACTCAACTTTTTTTGGACTGGGATCAGGCGGGCTAACTCTGGCCCAGTTTACAACAGGTCCGGGTTTGGGTCGTGAGTCCCCAACTGAACAACCAGTTTTGAGTTCACATACGAAGGGTTCATTTAAATAAGAATTTATTGATGGCTTATTGAATTGTAGGGAGGAAAAAAAAGGTTGTTGATTAGGTGAATTTAGATCTGCGAGATGATTGGACCAGGACGTCGGACCCAAGAGATAAATGCTTACCCAGATTGCAACTTTGGAGAGGTGGTTCCAAAAGGCTTCGACAGTCCATGAGCGTAGCCACTGCGTACTTCTCACGCTGATGATCGCGAAGGTTTTTGGACAGGTGTGCAGCCATCAATCCAGCAGCTGCTAATGCCCCACATAGCTTAATCCCTCTTGCTTCACATGCCTGCACGACAAATTAATCCTCAGTTGCAACATTGATGTTTATTAATGGAGATGTAGATTCTAGACCACACCAGTTGCACCACAATACAGTTCTATTAATATCCCTGGATTCAAGCCAACATGAATGAATGAATGAATGAATCTACTTACAGCAACAAGTCGACGTGTCTCATCTGGTTTCATCTGCAACCTCACCACCTCAGACGATCGAGGTGCAATCGAGTCCTTAAAATCCATATTCGAAAATCTTAATGACTTCAAGGAGTAAGCAAGCAGATCCACTCCATGAGCCCACAGCGTCTTGTTTGCTTTTCCTCTGGGCACAAGCTCCTCAATGGCCACGTTGAACTCCCCTCTCTTCCCCTGTTCCCCTTTCAGCTGTCCCTCTTTCACTTCCTTGGCCACAACCAGCAGCTCTCTGAGCAGAGTCACCGCTGAGGTGCGGTCACAGACGGAGGTGTGAAGCCGAAGCGCCAGGACCCAGTTGTTATCGGGCAGAGCGTAGAGGCTGGCAAAGAAGACGGCCGTGTCGGGATGTTTGTGATGTTCTTGTTTAGAAGACGACCAAGGATTCCGGTTCAGTTCATGCTCAAGGATACGGTGAAATGGAGAGACCAGGTGATCAGAGGCGGAGGTTGGGAGGCGTTTCAGGAGATGGGAAGTGGAGGTGGCGTCGAAGGACTCCAGTTGGAGGTGGGAAGTGGAAGGTATGATGAAGGAGAAGGTGTTGGTCGCGGCGTCATGGCTGAGCTTGGAGCGGAGGATGGGATGGGACGTCTGGAGCCGGTGGAGTGCGGTTTGGAGAGCTGAGACATCTGGGGCTTTGGAGAGGAGGAGAGCCAGGACGGTTATGCCTGTGCCGCCAACCACCCCTCGGCACCAGCTGCTTTCGGTAACGCCGGCTGGTCGGCCTTTGGGCTCGAGAGCTTTAGGGCCCAGACCCAGACTGTCTAGCTTTCGGTTGGCCATCTTAGATAGAAATATTGTCTGTGTGTGTGTGTCAGTGTGTGGAGAGAGTGGAGAGTGCAAAGCCGGCCAGCAACGGAGCACCGAGTCACCGAGATATAGGATCGACCTCTACAGCTGAGGCAAGTTAAAGCAGTTGCTTTCCTGTAGTACGACCTGGGCTTCAATAACTCCTCTCTTAAATGATTCAGAGTTTTAGAGGCACACAACACAACTGAAGGAGATCGACTGCAAGCTTAAAGATGGGCCAATGGCCTAATTAGCGATCTGAGCCTCAACAACTTCCTACCAGTCTTTATGTGGAATATCATCTCATCAGCCTATCAGCAGCCTTGGCCAGAGCGGCAGAGCCACGTGAAATAGGAACTGGTTCAGAATTTAAGTTTTAACATATATACCGGGTATGGGTAGTGGGTACTGGCGTAAGTTTGATCTTTATGTTCTTTTCTGAATCAAATAAAGGGACTTGTTTTCAATATTTTCAGTCTAGTTCTTTAACTCCTTTGCTTCATCTTGGCATGACCAGGTGTTGAGTTAGGATGGGTCACCCAGACCCATCCAAGCGTTAATCCCATGTGCCTAGAATTGGGTTCCACAGTCTGGCGGGTCCCATTTAAAACAGGGGCTATCCTCCTCAAAATCAACTTAGGGTTTAGCTTTTAATTTTTTACAGTCCAACTTGGGCATTGTTTGTAGGGCTTCTTTTAGCTCTTGAGAAGCATTCTTCCACCGCCCAACTAATTAATGCAGTGAAATTAGATGCCATAGCCTTTCGGCATGCTGATTTCGGGTCAGTTGATGAACCATATGGATTGGACCAAAATGGTGGGTCTCAATGCTCAAAATGAGAAACAGGGGACCTGCATGGACTCTCCATGTGGACAAGTCATCCAATCGATAAGGCAGCGGCGTCGGGTTCATCCTCCTCGGCCCAGATGACAATACCCTAGAGCATGCCCTAAGGTTCAAGTTCAAGGTGTCTAATAATGAGGTAGAATACGAAACCTTGATAGACGGACTTCAGCTCGCCCTAAACGTCGAAGCAAGGCATGTGGAAGCCTTTAACGACTCCCAACTGGTGGTCAACCAGGTCATCAGCTAGTTTGAAGCAAAAAAGCCCACCATGGCAAGATACCTGCAAAAAGTGTAAGGGCTCATTAGACATCTCAAGCACTTCGCCATACAACAGATCCCTAGAATGGACACTTTAGCACGACTTAGCATTTTAGAAGCAGCTTTGATAGTCCTCCCAGTCCAACTAGAACAATCATCGATGGACCCAATCATATAGTACCTCCAGGACAGCACCCTCCCGGTAGACCGAACCAAAGCAAGAAGGCTTACCCACAACTCAACCTGATATTGCCTCATCTAGGGCCAGTTCTACCGCCGATCACACACTTTCCCCTACCTAAGGTGTCTTCCTCCAATAGAGGCTTACTACATCCTTAGGAAGATACACGTAAGTACCTGCTGAGACCACCTCGGTGCACAAACCCTGGCATACAAGGCACTTCGATAGGGCTACTTCTAACCCTCCATGAAGCAAGATGCAACCCAGCTCGTCCGAAGGTGTGACCATTGTCAGAGACACTTAAATCTCCACCACCGTTGTTAGGGACACTTAAATCTCCACCACTGCTGTCAGAGGCACTTAAATCTCCACCACAAGCTACCAGCCAACGACCGTTGTCCGAAGGTCTTCAGGTGATGGTTGAGCTAGCCAAGGATGCCACATGGCAATCTCCGCGGCTGCCCCCTCTCTCAAGCCATATCGACGCCACACATAATAGAAGAGCACAACCAAGAAGGAGCGTCTACACGAACAGGGAAGTGGACTCCGTCGGGAAGAGAAAACCTCCTGAAGACCTCGGCGGATGCCATCATCTCGATAACCCTGAAAGCCCTATCCATTTGGGACATGGACACCCAACAACAAATAGGTATTCCTGGCTCGAGGTAAGGGACTTTTGGAAGAACACTCTTGGAATATCTCTTTGCACTATCTCTTCGGCCCAAAGCAACGCTATTTCAACCTGCTCGGGCCGACCACATCTTTCTCTATCCTACTGACTTGAGCGTCGGAGTATTTACCCGGGGGACAACTGCTCAAGCCTCTAACCTTTCCCTTGGTTGCAGATCTTGATGTGCGCTTTATCCTTCCACCTCGGCCTCATCTAGTTTGGCAGGACATCTGATTATGTCCTCGGTTCGAAACACCTCAGATTAGACAACATCACTAGATTTATAATTTGCATCTAATTTTTTTGTTCTTTCATATTACATATAAACAATAAACAAGTACAACAACATGAACACTCATAAAAAATTTCAATTATTTGATTAAAACATGTATAAAATACATAAATTATTAATTATCCTTTACATAAAATTCAAAATATTATTAAATTCCACACCTAATACATAAGTTTGCATGTTGATGTATCAATTTTTGGTGATGACCAATTTTTTGTGCCAAGTACCTCGTCATTCAGTCTGCTTCCAAGTGGCCGATGACTCAGGTCGAAGTGGAGAACTTTGGCTGCTTGTTGTAGCGTTGTAGCATTTCCCACAGACGACGCCAAATGATGTAGCGCAATCCGGCTGCTCCATGCAGGAGATGATCTGGCTACCAGCAATGACAGGCTCGATGAACCTGCAAGAGATGAACCAGAGAACCCGGGGTTGTTTACCCAGCGGGGTCACTCCGATGCTTAAGTTAGCACTTGGTTGCAAGCTGAAAATGATATTAGATTGTAAGAGATCTAGAGAGTAGAGAATACGCGTCCTTTTTCCCCCTAGGGGGGTGAAGCCTTTATATACTAGAGTCCTTGCGGGTTCGGTGGAGTAGTTCTGGAATTCTCACTGCGACAAGATCCGTTTCTGTGTTAGGTGGGGATAACGCTATCAACCGGTAAGGCTGACCATTTTCGCCTGAATCGGGGAATGGGGAGATGATATTTAGTCGTTACAAGGTACAATCCCGAAAGACGCAGAGTACGGTGACGAGATCTTCGGGGTTGCCATGCGGTGGTCGGTCAGCATTGCCTGAGCTCGTGTTCTTTAGATCCAACCTGATATGAATGCCGAAGTGCCTTGGGACCGAGGTGGTCCTGATGTGACCTTGCACCGAGGAATACTCGTCCCGAGGTGGTCTGGTTATTCGAGCTCGATCCGTTGCGGACTTTGGCGTGTCAAGCTGAGCTGTTGTCCTACTAGTTAGGTCGTTAGTTCGACATAAAGGCTGGTCGCCAGGTCGACATTAGTGCCAAGCCGCCAGGTAAGCGCCTGTGCCAGGTCACCAAGTAGGCACCTGTGCCAGGTCACCAGGTAGGCGCTTGTGCCTGGTCGCCAGTTCGGGACACCATCATCTTGACTAAGTTGTCGCCTAAGTGGTTCTATCCAAAACTAATAAGATTTGATACTTCAATATAGAAGCTTTTTATCCAATGAAAACATTTTCAGATTATCAGAGGCATGAGGGATCGATGGAAAATGCTTGTATAACATTTACATCCAGAAAATTAATTGTTTGAAGCCTCAGATCACAATGTGCCTACCTCTCCCGTTGTTATTTGGTTCATTTATATCCCTTCACCTAACATTCTGTCAATTGAAGATCAGACCAAGATTGAGACAACTTCACTTTCAAGTAGGTCTGAAACAATTTGAATGGAATGGGATTCCATTCTTAACATATTCACCTTCAATGGATACATAAATGGTCGTCAACTGCACACTTCTACACATGTGCCCGCTTGCAAAATTCTCTAGCCCACCATTAATTATCAAAAGTCAAAAGTATCAAGACATTTTTCATGATACAGCTACATTAGAACTTTCAACTGCTCGCAAACCCACATAGAAAACTTATCCAAAGAAAGCATGAAGCATTTCTATGTTATTGAAAAAATACTGAGAAACTATTGTTTAATTATTGATATCCAGTGAAAAATGAATTAAATTGAAAGAATATATAGGTTTATTCTGCATTTGGCATTCCCTATTTTAAGTACTTATCTCTTTTTTGCAGTTAAAATCTTGTCCATAGGGGCATTTTAACTGCAAAAAGGAAATAAATCGTTAAAAATAAGGAATGCCAAATGCGGCCTTAATGAAAAAATTACATAAAACTGGATGGCATATCCAGACCTGACTCAGTAACCCGGATTGGGTCACGTTCTTGACTCGATTCGTTGTTCCCTCGTTTGTTGGAAAGAGAGACGACAGTAACACCCCAGGCCTATTGTTGGTTCTGTTTTATATCTAACCTTGCCAACAATTAAAAGGCAAGATGACAGTAAAGTGATATAACTTCTGTAAACTATTTTTTTCTATGAATTTGCATTTGAAAATCTGTTTGATATATATGCAAATGATGACCATTGATAAGCAATTCGGATCAGCTATGTTCAATGAACAAGAGAACATAGCAGCCCCCTCCCCTTCTCTCTCTCTTCTTTGTTTTTTAAGCCAATAACATGGAGAACCTAGGTCATGCAATTCTCCCTCATTCTATGGCCGATTTCTTCGTAAACAAGACTCACAAGCCCCATTAGGAAGAAAACAAGAGAAGAGACCAACCTCCCTCCCTCTCCCTAATTTGTTTTTTAAAGGGGGACCCCAAATCTGTTTAGGGGTCCTATGCCTCTAGATCAAAACCCTCCTTTTCAAAAACATTGGTTGCAGGCTTTGATCCATTTAGCATTGCAATTGATGTTGGCCAGTTTAACATGGATAATTGGATATTATCTAGTTCATTGGGTCATTAAATAAATAATCATTCAAATTATAAGCAAGATTTCTTTCTCCAGTTATTTGATTTCAAATTTGACATGAAACCTAAGGCATTCCAAATTCTTGAATATTTCATTGTTTTAGAAATCACAGTTGCCTTGTTTGTGGAATCCATTCTTACCTTGCTTTGCTAACATGTAATGTGTATGACCTACTTAAAGAATAGAATGAGTGCAGACCTGGTCATGGGCTGGGCTCGGGCTTAATTTTTATCAAAATTTGAATGGGCTCGGCTTGAAGCTTGAATCCAAAACACTGTAAAGCCAAGCCTGAATCCCAACCTGTGAACATGTCTACTGCAAAAGTGCAAAACCATAGAGTCCGGATCACCTGCCAATAAAATATGTTCCAACACCCTCTCAACATGATCTGGCACTGCACTTCTCATACATGGTGTAGCTTAGTTGGAAGGGTGTCGGTACTTGTTTTGTTGGTAGGAGATCTCAACTCAAAACCACTCTACAAGGCTTAGTGCTTTTTTCTGGTAGGCAAACGGGTTACATACCTGGAGTAGGCGGGTAGCCTGTGATTTGATCTCAGTCCCTGCTACAACCAAGTAGAGACTTTAAGCTCAGTTTGGAAGGAGTATAAATACAAGTTTGTAGAGTGCAAAATCTTGTATTTTGTATTACTTTATATGTTTTTGTACTCTATATATTTGTATTTATACTCTTTCCAAACCGAGTCTTACTAACAAACTAGCTGGTATACCTATGTTCCACCATGAATTACAAACATATTACCACTTTATTTTTGTTCGAAGGGATCATTGCTCGGTGTAATAGAAAATTCTCAGGCTAACAAGTCTGAGAATGTGATGCCAAAGGTTGGATTCATGTCAACGCTACAAGTCTGATTTCCTACCCACAAGACACCCTACCCAGAGCTGTAAAACGAACATGCCGCCAGTGGCTCAACACGATTTTTGACCAGTCCAACATGACAAAATGCAGGCCGTGCAGGCCTGAGGTTTGAGGTTTTAGGTCCATGCCGGCATGACATGGCACAACCGAGCGGGCTGTGCGAGGTACGACCCATCACAATCCATGTATATTTATGTATATTATATATAGTATATAATATAATATAATATATTAATATATATTTTTTCAATTTTATTATATAATATATGCATATATGAATAATTGTATACATCAAAATGCATATAAAATAAAATTTTAAGATTTTTTTTATTTATTTTTTGCCTATTTATTAACTTATGTTAAAATTTTCATTACTTTTTTTTTCAAAAATTTTAAAAAACATTGCTTGGCCCGGTTCGTGGCCTGACCTGGCCCAAGACTTGGCCTGCGGACCAACCTGACTCGTGATGCAGCACGGGCCCATATGGACTCGAGCCATGGGCCATGCTGGGCTAAGCCCCCAAAATATCCCAGGAGAGGAAAGTATGACCCAGCTTGACATGTGAACCGACACGGCATAACCCACACTTTACACGGATTGCATGTGGGTGGGTCAGCACAGCATGGTCCGCCCACACAGCCCAATTCCTACCCACGCTTCATTACACTGTACATTGGGAACATCTTCCATACTTGCATGTTATCATTCATGGGGAGATGTTCTAGCTATAGTATCATGTGGGTAAGCGTGGGTAGAAGTCTTCTGGGCAGGACATCTCAATTCCAATGTTACTCCCTTGTGACCTCTTCAATGAAACACCAGCACACCAGTCAACATTGACTGAAATAAATTTAAAACGTCTTGTGAAGCCTAATTATTTATTTGTTTCTCTTTTTTCTATTCGTGTGTATGTCTGTGTTTCATTGATGGCTGTTTTTAGTGGTCATGGGACCCAAGATTTTGCTCCCCATCACCTATAAATGCAAGTGAGAGATTGACTGACTGTGGGTTACATGCATTTTATTTCCTAATAATTGGTTCTACAACCCATAAAACAGCTATCAAGTTCAGCTAATCTTTTTTATTTCCTAATGGGCCATTGGTGAATGGTTGTACATAGAATCACCACATTTTAGATAGAACTGCCTATCCCTGATAATTACAGAAAGAAAACATAATTGAGGGTCCGTTTAATTCGTAATTGGAATTGGAATTAATATCCCTCATAACTGGAATCAGAATGGTGCGTTCCACCCACCTGTTTGGTTCAGATGGGAATTGTAATCTAGTTAGAATGGATTCTCGTTCCCAAAGGAGGGGAAGGAATGGCCATTCCCTCATATAGGGAAATGCCATTCCACCAGAAATGAGAATGGGATTCCGGTTTCATTCAATCAAACAATTGAATCTGATTCCAAACCCCTTTTTCATGTGAAGCAAACGAACCCTGATTTTTTATTTTTTTGCAATATTTACAATTTATGGTTGATCTGGATGGTCGGACCAGTTGACCCGTCACCTGGAGACAGTAAATTTCAATAACTCATTAATTTGATAAAATATTGTCAACCAACCAATCAAACCAATAAAACATTCCATCAACTCATGATTTATAGATTAAACCAAATCGGTGACGGCAAGAGTGGGCTCTCCTTTTTTCCCTTCATTCTTCTTCTTTGGTTTTGCCCCTTTGTCTCTCTCACTCATCATAACATGTATGTAAGGTTGATGCCATAATATTCTAAATTCGATTTTTAGGCCGTGTTTGGTTGCTATGCAAATAAATTTGCATTGATACAAAACCATACAAATACAAATGATTTGAATGTAAATTTTGATATATTTTTGCTTTAAAAAGAAATTGCATTTTTTACATTTGCACTTCCATGTACTAGTGTAAATAAATTTGCATTGCAATCAAATACAGTACAAATAAAAATTTATTTACACTAGTACAAATGTTATGAAAAATTGGCAACAAAAATAGGGCTGCAACTAGGGCAGGTTTTGGTTGAACATTTGTTAAAATTCGAATGGGCCTACACCGAGGGCCCAGGTCCAATACTGTGTAAATTCATAAACTCGGGTATCGGATTCGCGCACGTGGATGGCCAACAGCCCAAGCCCAAGATTCCCTTTTAACCAAGCGGGTCTCCGAATTTCAAATTGCAGCTCATCCCGCTCTCGTTTCGAAACACAGAGACCAAGAGGTAGAACACAGAGAGAGAAGAGAGAGAGAGAGAGAGAGAGAGAGAGAGAGAGAGGAAAATCAGGAAAAAAGTCTTTTTCTTTGCAAAACTTTGTTTCGATTCGAAGCCTGTGGGGTTTTCTCGTTCTCGCTTTCTCTCTCTCGTCAAGATGTCTGGGCGTCACGAGAAAGAGAAAGGTGTAAATGTTCAGGTCCTCCTTCGTTGCAGGTACTGAGATTTCATTCTCTAGGGTTATGGTTTTCTAATGCTTATTATCTCTTTATTTTATATCTTGTTGGAGCATTAATCACTCCATGGCTGTAATTTCAGATTATGGGTTTTCATGATTTCATCTGATTCTTTTCCCCCTTTTTTTCTGTAAAATTTCCAGGCCCTTTAGCGATGAAGAGCTGCGAAACAATGCGCCGCAAGTTGTGACCTGTAATGAATATCAGAGGGAAGTCGCTGTCTCGCAGAACATAGCTGGGAAGCAGATCGATAGGGTATTCACCTTTGATAAGGTATTCTCATTTGACTGTTTTATTAGTTGGTTTGGTTTTTTCCGTGGAGTGTTTAATATCTTTATTGTTGGTCAGGCCACTATTAATGAAAACGAATAAGAAGCTTTGTTACATGAGATATTGTATTTTCGTTATTTTTTTGGCCTCATCTTATTCTTCAACATTGTTTTAAATACCACCTCAACGGGGCTTAAGTATATTGGGTTTGCTTGCTTAGATGTATGATTAGTAGATCTCTTATGTCTAATTTTTTTGCTTTGTTTACAAAGTGATACGAGATTTCATTCGTTATAGAAGTCAGAATTTGTTAGCTTGGTTTAGGGAGTGTGACTATTGAAGCATGGAAGGAAGGCCCGGGGTTTTAGTAGTTGCATCAATGCTGGACTGAGATTTAAAACTTACGTTACTCAAGGTGTGCAGAGATGGAATAACCACGGAATGCTTGTTATTGTTGCCTTCCTGAATGAGTCAATGAGACATTCTCAAATGCTTTTCCTAGATGAAATAACCTAATCTATGAGTGCATTGGAGAAAATGTATATGTTGTTTGTATCTTTTTGGGCAACCCTATGGGTCTTACGGAAGATAATCTTATTGAATCAGTACCTTAATATTCACTTATCAAAGATGATCATTGTTTTGATTTCCAAAAGGTATCTCTATTATTTTCTTCAACATGTAAAAGCTAATCTCCCTTATACACAGGCGGTGAAAAAACGATCTATTTGTATTGCACATAAAAAACCATGAATGAATTGGAATAATTTGCAGTCCAGGAAGCCAATTGTCTTATTGAATTGTTAATCTGGTATCAACATTTTTTATTTTAAATGTAATATTATGTTCTCTTCCAGGTTCAATTACTAATAGGTCTGCATACTCCAACACTTGTAATTTTCATTGTTATTATTTTCTTTGTATATCATTTTAATAGATCAGCGACTTTGCTTCTATTCATTTGAAGACTTTGAATATCTTCACAACAATCACTCAATAATGGTGTGGTTTCAGATAGTTCTCCAACTCAATTTAACCAAGCTTAATGAAGCCTTACTAACTTGAGAGAGCAAGAGAGAAAACTGAGCTATTTATCTGGGCTTCATTTGGTTGCTCTAATGGTTAGGAAGAGTGAGAAATATTGCTTTATTTTCTCAAGAAATTATTGGAAGTGATATTTGGTGGCAAAAGAAGTTGGTAGCGTACCAGTGAGTCCCTTAGAACCCTTGCAAGAGTGATCAAATTAACCAGAGACTGGAGCCTATACTAGCAAAATGGCAAGATACGCTAAATGTACTAAAGGAACTTATATTCTGGCCCTGGTTACTTATGCTCTATTTGACATGCTTTCAAAGAATTAATTCTGATGAATTTTGTGACTCTAAGAATCACTTTTATGTTTCAATTCATGAAAATTGCATTGATAAAAAATCATGAAAATTATTGGAACTGATTCTTTTTTCTGTGTTCAAATTTATTTTAAGAATTGATTGTTTGAAGCAAAAAATTTAGCTTCAAAAAGAAACTTTTTTTGGGCTCAAAACACATTCTTCAAAGAGTGGTTATTTGGAATAGAATTTTAACCAAACATGGGTTTAGACTCGCAGGATGGAATTATGTCAGGATAGACACTAAACTGTTGATCTATATGGTTCAATCCAGGAGCTCCTTAATTTAAGCAGTTTCAGTGTATTGGCTGGGTCTTCCCAATTATTGTAATGCACTAAATAAAGTATGAAAAATAAAAGAAAAAATTTCCACCAGTGGTCTTGTTGCAAGTATTTAATCCCCTCTAATAAAATTTTAAAATGACTTGCATCTGCATCATTAAAGATCTTTCGGTGAAGGTATCGAAATGCTGTCACCTTTTGGTTTTTAATAAATTTTAACTTGAATCTTTTCATGAGAAAGTTAAGATGAGGCATTGTCATGCAATTCTCAAACTCCTAATATGAATGTTCTTTTTTATGTATTTGTGATTATGCTTATATTTGCACATATCTGGAAACTTGGGTTTGAAATATTTTAGAAACAATGGTTTTTAAAGTACATTCTTAATGATTAGGCATGCCACATGTGATTATTTTATTGTTTTACTAATGCTGTTTGATCCTATTTAGTGCCATAGATGGATTTCCTTACTAATTTCAGATATCTATTTTCTTTGAATTTTTTGTCTTTCAGGTTTTTGGTCCTTCAGCTCAACAAAGGGATTTGTATGAACAGGCAGTTGTTCCCATAGTAAATGAGGTTTTGGAAGGATTTAATTGTACCATTTTTGCTTATGGTCAAACTGGGACAGGAAAAACATACACAATGGAAGGTGACTGCAAAAGATCAAAGGTAGGTACTTGCATAATTAGGTATTCTTTTGTCTTTCTATTCATGTATGTAAAATCTGTATTTGGTAATATCCATATTGGATATACTTGTTTATCATTATTTCTGAAGCTTGTGATGGCCTTTGATGATATGCTAAACTATTATTGCAGAGTGGGCCTAATGGACAGTTGCCTCCAGAAGCAGGTGTCATACCTAGATCTGTTCAGCAGATATTTGACACATTGGAGAGTCAGAATGCAGAATACAGTGTTAAAGTCACTTTCTTGGAGTTGTACAATGAGGAAATTACTGATTTGCTTGCACCAGAAGAAATATCAAAGGTTGCTATTGAGGAAAAACAGAAAAAGCAGCTGCCTCTTATGGAAGATGGGAAGGGTGGGGTTCTTGTACGAGGATTAGAAGAGGAAATAGTGACTAGTGCCAGTGAAATCTTTACTCTTCTTGAGAGGGGATCTGCAAAGCGGCGCACTGCAGAGACTCTATTGAATAAACAATCTAGGTTATACTTTATCCTTTTCTTTTCTCTGTTCTGTCAAGGTCAAATGCTCATCTTCCTTTTAACAATTTGGCCATTATTTTCAGCCGGTCACATTCTCTGTTTTCCATTACAATTCACATCAAAGAACCAACCCCTGAAGGTGAAGAGCTTATTAAATGTGGGAAGCTGAATTTGGTTGATTTGGCTGGGTCAGAGAATATTTCTCGTTCTGGTGCTAGGGAGGTATTAAAGATTTCGTTTACTGTGTTACCTCAGCAGTTTGTATTTGTTAACATGGTTTTATGGCAGCTTCTTGAGTCTCTTAATTTATTTTAGAAACAACCCATCTATTTTGGAAATGATGTAGAGAAATTGGTAGTTTTCTTTGTTCACTAATTTCTTGATGATTTTTGCATGTCTATATACTCTTTCTAATTATTTGTGCAATTCTGTGTTGGTAAATGTTTTAGGGCCGTGCAAGAGAAGCTGGGGAAATCAACAAAAGCTTACTTACTTTAGGACGTGTCATAAATGCACTTGTGGAACACCTTGGACATGTTCCCTATAGGTTTCAACTTCAACCCATATATCCTTGGCAAATTAATCACTTTTTTTTTCTTCTTTCTTGCTAGTATCAATTATTTTGTTGTATTGACATACAGGGATAGTAAGCTCACACGTTTATTGCGTGATTCATTGGGTGGAAGAACCAAAACTTGTATAATTGCCACTGTGTCACCAGCTGTTCATTGTCTTGAGGAGACCTTGAGCACTCTGGACTATGCACACAGGGCAAAGCACATAAAAAACAAGCCTGAGGTTAGCCATTCCTAGCCTTTACTAAAAGAGATACATGCATATAGTTTCTTTTTGTGTAGCTAAAATTCGTTTTTGTTTTATATGGAGATAGCTTTTGATGTTACTTTCTTTTCCTATCTGTTTTTTTCCCCGATTATAATCTGTCTGACCACTTAGCATGGAAAGCAGCTGAGTTGAAAAATGTTTTAAACTATGTATCAGATGTGTTTTTGTGATAACTTTGCCTTGCATCCTATTATCAGCATATTAAGTTTAGTGATAATTATTGTTTAGGTAGAATTGTTTCTTGATTCAGCAACAGTTATGATTGTAAATAGCAAAAATTAACTAAAATTCTGTATCTTACCATTTCTTGATCTCTTAGTTTGTTCACATTTATGCTGGGAAGTGATTGAGTGAATACTCCTTTTTTCCATTTTCTTCTTCTGTGTGACATTTTTAGGCATTTTCACTAATGGTGGCCCTATCTCCTATAGTTATGTGAGATTAATTTTGGTGAGGTTATGCTTTTGTCTCACAAGGACTGACATTTTTTGCTTTTGTGGAATGCTTTACTGTTTTGTAGTCTATGCTTTTTTATTATTGATTCTGCATATGTGATGACTCTCTCGTTCATATTTTTTTCCCTCTGTCTATCTATAGGTTAACCAAAAAATGATGAAGTCAACTCTTATCAAGGATCTTTATGGCGAAATTGATAGACTTAAAGCAGGTATATACTTTTTCTGTAAGGAATTTAACTACTCTTTTTTTCTTTTCTTTCATATAAGGAGAAAAAATCCCACCCTTTTCTGTGCTGGATTATAGTATAGTGTTTGGTGGGACATTGGCCTGTAATCTATGAACACGAGAATCATCACCTATCTTGAAGGGTTACATGGAGCTGTACCTTTAAAACCAACTTCTAACTACAAATAGAGGAAAAGAATGAATATCCTAAGGCCAAATGTTTCCTGTGAACTGGCTCTAAATGTTGCACAATTGTGTCTAGTCCACAAACAATTAATGTTTATCTTGCCCTGAATTGGTTTTTACAAAGAGGAAATGCTGATAGGCCATAGTCTCACCACACCTATTTCCTTAACAGCAATTGAATATGTAGCTATTAGCTAATTTCCCTCTTGGAACTATTGATGCTGGAACCAAGCAGTCCAAGCTGAGCACAAAGCTCCATATCTCTTAGTAAATACCAAAAGAAGTGTTTTATGTGAAACCAGATCGAGTAAAATTCAGTTTCTGCTTTATCTCTTTACAAATTCTGACATTCTAAAGCAAGCATGTACTTGCTAAATCTCATTCCGAGTCTTTCTTAGAAGTGTGAAAATTGAGCTATTATAGCATGAGGGTTGTCAATTGACTCCGAAAATCCAATACCCGATCCAATTATTTGGATTTGGATGTTAAAGCTTGCATCTGTTTAGTAATTGGATCGGATTCAGATTGACCTCATCCAATCCAATGAAATTCTGATTCTGGTTATATGCATATATATTTACAAACATTTTTATGTAAGTTAAAAAATAATTATTATTTTTTTTATTTTTTCATTATTTCTGATGATAATATAGTGGATTTGGATTTGAAAGATCAACATTCAGATCAGACTTGGATGTATCTGAATACGATCCAAATCCAACCTGCTTACATCCCTATATATCATTTTGACAGTCTACGTCCAGTTACTCAATTAGCTCTGTGTTGGTATTGAGAATCTTGAGATCATAACATATCTAAGCTAGGCTTGGGTCATATGATTGCATGTGCTGTTATTTCCTGGCTTCCAAATAAACAATTTGTCCTTTTTGATTCCTCTAGAGGTTTATGCTGCACGTGAAAAGAATGGAGTTTACATTCCAAAGGAACGATACTATCAGGAAGAGAGTGAAAGGAAGGTACTGCCTTTCTCCTTGTTTGTGGCTGTAGAAAATAATCATCTTGATTTGGTTAGTAATAGTTAACTATTGGTTATACACTTATACTCAACTATGTGTTTTTGGTTTATTGCTTGTTTGTGCTGAATTAACATTGGAATTGTGAGTTTATCAATAAAAACTTTGATTTCAACCATTGTTGTTTCATTAGCATTTGGCATGGTCATCATTGTCCTCGAAAATCTAATTATGGTGAAAAATAAGTCACCTATTTTTTGAGGATTTTTGAATATTTGGGTTGTAGGTGTTTCTTCTGTCATAATTACCCTACTAATTATATGCCTTTTAAACTGCCTTTGTGCAAACAGATTTTATTTATCTATGCTGAGGCAATGAAACATTAGTGTTATTTGACTCGTGTATTTGGTTTCTTTGTGTTAAGGCAATGGCAGAGCAAATTGAACAGATGGGAGTAATGTTGGAGACAAACCAGAAGGTCAGTTCAAGGTGTAGGATGCTTATTTATATCTATATTTACTCTTGCATGGAAAAATGCATGGAAGTGTGGTCAAAGTGAAAGCTGCCCTTGTCATAATCAGAATTCGTCTGCTTGTGGCATGGAATGCTTATCACTCTAGATGGTACTGCTTTGAAAGGAAAGTAACTTAAAACACTGGAAGGAAGATAGTTATGTACAGTGTTTTAAAAGGTGTGGGGGGCGTACCTTGGAGGCGCGCCTCCAGGCGAGGCACTCCCAAAACGCCTTGAGGCGTATGCCAGAGGCATTGACACCTCTGAGGCGTATGCCTCATGCGATTTTTTCATGAGGCGTGCTAGAGGCGTACACCTCATGCGCCTCATGCACATCTTATATAAAAAGACAGAAAAAAAAGAAAGGAAAGGGAAGGGAAAGAAAGAGAAGAAAAAAAGAGAAGGGAAGGGAAGAAAAAATAAGGGGAAAGAAAGTGGATTGCCCCTTGCCCCTTCGGCTGGGGACAAGAACCCCCCCCCTTCAACTAATGTTATGCATCTTTATTCTACTTAATATAAAAGATTTTTATTTAAAAAAAGAAAAAATGAGATCCCCCCTTCCTCTTCCTCCTCCTAACCCCCTCCCCTTAAGGAGGCTTACGCCTCTTGTGTTCTGAACTATGCCTCACGCCTCTAGGTAGTGGAACACCTCGCATTACGCCTCCACATTTTAAAACATTGGTTATGTATGAACCTGAGAAAGGTTTGAAATCACATGACAGCCCTAGATTTTGAAAGTTGAGAGCATTTCACTTAGTAATATATCACTGAAAAGAATAACTAATGAAATATATTGTCTTCATTATTTCTAACTTTTACCTTTTACAAACAAGGTTTAAAATGTTGGTGTCGGTTGAAGTGTTGGCCAAAATATTATATTGAAATATTGTGAAGATTATAGACATGGTGGAAGCATTGTAAAATCTTGAAAAAATATAGAATGATATTTTATGAAATGATAAAAGACACATAGGTAGACTTTTTTAAATTATTATCTTGTTCCGAATCATTAACCAAAGCGAAGAAACTCAAGTTATAGACAAAAGAGTATGTTCTTAAGTTGTCCTATAAACCTTAAGATTCAAAACTTCATGATAGTATTAGTTAAGGCAAATTTTAAACCCATAGAAAATCTAAATGATTGTAATAAATAACTAAATAATCTATTACACACAAAAATAATATTTAACTTAATATTTGAAATGAATATTGAGCTAGGTGAAAGCGGTAAACATGTAAGTTAGGCTAGCAATAACATTGTTACTCCACGTATCTACAATATTGTTGGTAAACATGTTGTAATACTATCTCTTGCAGTCTGTATAGTGCTGGTAGTGTTCATTGTGGAATATGTTGGTTCTAGTAAAATTTCCTGTAAGTTCCCATGGAAGTGGAAATGGAAATATGCTGTGGAAACTATCTCTTGTACTCTACATAGTGCTGGTAGTGGTAATAGGAATATGTTGATTCTAGTAAAATTCCGTGTCGCTACCCATGGAAATGGAAATTTGTCGTGGAAACATTAGCGAATTTAGGGACATTTTAAATGATGTTTATAAGTGGTGATGAATGATAAAATCTCATACTTCAAACATCCATGACTGTGCCAGTTCAATATGTTATCCATACAATAAATTATGCATACATAAAAGCTATCCTGCATATGGAATACTAGTATTAGTCAGGTAATGCACACGGTATATCATATAGAATATATTAAACTGGTAGTCAAGAGAATCTTTAATAATATAAAAAAAGAATGTAACCAAATGGAGGCATATATAAATTCATTAAGATGTATGCTTCTTGTGATTTGTGGCTTGATCTTGCATGGGTGGGCCTATGACAGGGGCCATGATGCTTCATTATCTTTAGTTTGTTTTTGGCTAGGCTGGGTGATGTGCCTATATGTACATCTTTTGTGCTTTTATTAGTATTGTTGTGTGTAATGTTTTCTGTTATACTCTATCATGTTACTCATTGTCATTTTTGGTTATGTCAGCAAATTGAAGAACTGCAAGACAAATATGATGGTCAGGTCCGCCAATGCTCTGATCTGAGTAACAAGCTTCATACTACTCAGGTAATCAAAATATATATGCTTTGGTGTTTGTTCTTGGTATTCATATGTGGAGTTGCATCAAGTATGTGCCATTTATGCAGAAAAACTTGGACCAAACAACTAAGTTACTTGCTAGAGCTGAAGAGGATCTTAAGAAATCAGAGTATGCTGTGAAGGAGAGGGATTTTATTATCTCTGAACAGAGAAGAGCAGGTATGCATGCCACTACATCTCTTTCCCTCTTATGAGATTTTTGGGAGTGTGTTTCTCTTTTTGATCCTTTTGAATCTGTTAACCAGAAAATGCTCTGGCACATCAGGCATGTGTTCTCCAATCTGATTTGGAGAAGTCTCTGCAGGACAATGCTTTATTATTTTCAAAATTAGGTACCTTCTTAACCTGCAGTTTGATCATCTATCTGTCATTATTCTGATTGCTAATACTTATTTTCTCTTTTCAACTTGAATGTGGTACTCAGATAGAGAAGATCAAATGAATGCCGAAAACAAGGTAGTGGTGAACAACTTTCAGGCAGAGCTTGCAGAACAAATTGGTGTTCTTTGTAGTAAAGTGGCTACATCAATGTCTCAACAACATGAACACCTCCAGTCTGCTGAGGAACTCTGCCAGTTTTTCCTGAGTTTTCATGAGAATGTATTTCACTTGTTATAAATCCTGGTTGCAGTATGGTTGTTTTTTTTTTCAATATTGTGTTGTTGGTTTATTCATCTTTATCCTTTGTTTATTCATATTTATTACTTCTTGAAATCTTTCATGTAGTCTGTGTTGGATTTAAAGAAGAAAGTAACTGCTTCAAGGGCATTGTATGTATCTCACCTGGAAGCCCTGCAAAATGTAGTACGCTTGCACAAGGCAAACAGTAATGCTGGCCTGGAGGAGATTTCATCTGTGGTTGCTACTCATGCCTCCTCAATTGAACAAGTAAAGACATTTTCCAGTTTGGGTTTAAGTACTTTTATTTTCTTTTTTTTTTCTTCTTTTCCAGCCCTTCAAATGCCTTTTGATCTCTGTTTTAATTTGAAACTTTTCTGCACAAGTTTCTAGCTACAGAGGCTGGTGAAGCCAATTCAGTATTTGCTGATCTTGAAGGTACTTTATCAACTCATCAAGGGGAGATGGCTCTTTTTGCTAGGGAATTGCGTGAGGTTTGTTCTTCAACTTGATGTTTTTTAAACCTTGGTTAAAATGGAATAACAGGGTTAAGTAGGGAAATTACCTGCATGTTGTACTCTGTTTTAGCCATGTGGAGGAATCCTGTGCTCAATCCAGACTGTTCATCAGATGGGGTATAGTCTGTATTGGAGTTTACAAGTTATAATATCCCTATTCTAACCTGGTGTTGGAGTTTAGCACAATTAATAATACCCCCCTTTATTTCCAAATATTTGGTTTAAATGTTGCTCATAAAAAGGAATATCTCGAACAAGCCTTGCTTACAAATGATTCCTAAGTAAGATATACTTCAAATATTTTATTGGAACATGGACCACTAATTACTCATTGGAAATATATCATTTCAAATCAGTTTACAAGTGATCATATCGTTGCATGGTGCCAACCAGTTGGTTGGTAAGGTCTTCTGCAGGTCGTAGTGGAGACTTGGGATCGAATCCCACCTGCAATTGGGTTGGGGGATGGGCTACCCCTGTTGTGTAACCCTTCAGAAGATATAAAAGAAGTGATCTTATTGTTTAATGGCTTCCATGGGCAATTTTGTCCCTTACTTCTAAACCCAATTATGAACCGGTAAATATTAATTTGGATTGAATAGCACATTTGGTAACATATAATTTATAAAGCTTGTATGTAAGTCAAATAATAAGATTCAAGTGGATGACTCAATATATGGGAGTGCAGTTCAGTTGGGTTAAAAGGGCAGCAAATGGTCTTGCATGTGTCTTAGCAAAACAAGGGGTGGGGAGGAATCAGTTGTTTTGGGCTCAATTGTAATAGTTTTTTTGTCTGTGGAGAGTTAAGAATGTTTACCTCTCCCTATCTTGTAATTGTTTTTAAATATTTCTAATGAATTTCTGTTATTGATCAAAGAAAAACAAGAAAAAAGATATAAGTCAAATGATACATGCAAAGTGGAAGAAGATGAGTCATCACAGTTTAAAAGGACTCAGAAGTGCCAAATTAACACCGGAAGATGCATTTGGTTGTGATGATTTATGAGCAACAGCTTTCTTAAAATTTGTTAGTTCTGAAAGGAATTTGAAAGAACCAAAGGTAACCATTTGGACATCATGAAGTAGCAAATATGCTATCTTGGAACTTTTCAAAATTGGCACTTGAGCGTTCCTTCTCTAGATTCAGTTCTTAGCTTTGAGCACTAAGTTGCAGGCATCCTCTAATAGTTATCCATGCAATGTTTATCCTGAACTGTAGACGCTGGAAAAAGTTCCTCTAACCAATTTGAAGAAAAATAACTTGTCTCCCACATGGAAGAGATATGTTAAATGTTGCAAATTTGTCACCTTTATAATGCATATCATATATTATTTTTTTTAAAAACTACTATCTTTTGTTCCAGATTGCCTAAATGAAAACCTGAATACAGTTAACGTCTCTGGCCAATATGCAAATGGATTCTGTAGATAACTTTTGCCCTTTACTCTTTTTGCTCTTAAACACCCATGCATGCATTAATGTAGTTATTTTACTAAAAATGCCATTTTCTAATATCTCGTTGTTTATCCTTGTTTAACTTGACTATGCAGAGATTCCATGCTAGTATTGAACATGTCAGGGAACAGTCCAAATTCACTCTTGGGCTTCTGAATACACTTCAGGAAGAGTCACTCAAACTTGAAAGACATGCAAGTGAGGCTCACGAGATTCAGACAAAGAGCATTGCTGAATTTCAGAAGGTTTATAAGGTACATTATGGAACCTAAGTTGGACACAAGTGTTTTTGTTTTTTTTTATTTTTTTGAATTATCTGATTTTCCTTTGAACGTGACTTTGCAGGAGCAGTCAAAATCTGAAGCAGAGAAACTTTTAGCTGATATGACATCATTAGTTTCTAATCACATCCAACGCCAAAAAGAGTTGGTCTGTTTAAATGCCCTTAGTGTCTCTTACACTTCAATGTCTTGGCTTCTGTTAGTTTGCTTGATAATGGGACATGCAGGTGGATGCAAGGCTTGTGGGTTTGAGAGATGCTGCTACTGGAAACAAGACATTTTTGGATGCACATGTATCATCAATGGAGGGTATTACAAATGATGCCAAAAGAAAGTGGCAAGCATTTTCTATACAATCCGAGAATGATGCTAAAGATGGTGCTGATTTCTCTGCTGCCAAACATTGTCGTATGGAGTCTTTCCTACAGCAATGGTCAGTTTTCTCTATTCTGGGGCCTGAATGATTGGGAGCCCTATCTATTGTTAAAACTATTTTTCTTGTTTTTTTCTTTGTTTAATGATGTTTAATATTTTACGTAATACTCTGTGAGGCCATGGCACTTTAGTTACTTTTCATTTGATTTTTGTATTTATTTGTTACAGTATAAGCACTGTAGAAAATGCTTGTAAACACTACAAGAGGACAAATGAAGCTGTGAACGAGATGAATGGCAACCATGTTTCAGCTGTGGCTTTGCTTGTCAGGTTAGTCATTGTTATTGTTTCCTTCATTTATTTAACTCTTTAATCTATGGCTAATAATAGGTTCAGTTTGCAGTCTGATTTTAGTTACCTAGAATATTTGATCTATTTAGAGTGGGTTAGTTTCTACCATAATTGTCAAGGCGATGCCTAGGCAGGCACCTAGGCGACAAGGTGCCCTTGGAGGCTCGCCTTGCCTAATAGCCAAGCAGTTTTGTATGTTGTGTTATAAAATACTTTTATATTCTTAATTTTTGGAGATTATAATTATAAAATAGACATTATTAAACTAAAATATTCATATTGCGTTTATATATTAATTTCTTATTATTTTATTATTTGTGGGGTTAATCAACACAGACTTCAAAACCAGAACGGATAAGGAAGAAAAATTGTCTAATCAACACTTTTTCTTCTTCTTCTTCCACCGTTTCTTTTTTTCTTTTCCTATAACAAAAATAGCGGTTCAGCCCCTATAAGTTTTACATTTTTTTCTTATTTTTTCTCATGAATATGTTGATTTTCTGTACTTTAACACAAAGTTTATACTTTTCATATGAAAATTATGGATAATTAAGGAAATATGGTTATGGAACCTAGTGAACTACCTTAGGATAGATGTTTTTACTTAAAAAAATCCTTTGCCTAGGCAAATAGGTGATGAGGTGCCACCCTGTTGCCTAGCCTTGCCTTGGTGCCTTCAAAACTATGTTTTCTACCCATCTGCCATGCTAGTTGTACTGAAAATATGTTCTAATTAGCATATTGGAGTCATTAATCGTTTGCTTTGCCAGCATTGTCATCCTGGATATAGTGGAATGGGGTGACAGGATTTGTATAACTGATCCTAGTTCTTTGTGATGTGGCTTTATTGATGTATTTTTGGCTTTGTTGAGTTGAATTGAGTTCAGTTGAGTTTGTCAATATTATCAATTTATCATTATCATGAGTGCAACATTTTGTGCAACACCTTTTCCCATTCTTTATGCAGGAATGCCTCTGAAAGCAATGAGCAACATGATGCTGAAATTTGTTCTGCAAGGGATGCAGCAGAGAAAGACGTGGTGAAGAATAGTGAAGATATTCTTCAGCAGTTTGAAAGTAAGCTTCTTCTGTGCTAATATAATTTCCTCAGTTGCATACATTTCGTCAAAGCGGAGAGACATCAAATCTACCCTCCCTTTTCTTTTTATCACTAATTCCTGTGGATGTTCGCACTTGGTTAATTGAACCTTTTCATTTCTTTGCTGAAATGTTGTCAGATGTGACTACTCACCTATCAACAGTTGTCTGGGTTTTATTACAAAGATTATATCTTTGTTTTTATGAACTAGAAAGGTTTTGATTGGAAGTTGCTTATGTTTTCTATACAAGTAAAAATGGAGCCTTCTGAGTAATTAGTTCTCTATTTTTTTCTTCACTTATAGTGCAAGTGGGTTTACTGCTTTTGCTGGAAGATGAATGCACACAAAAATGGAGCCTTCACTTATTGTGTGGATTTAAAATTTTTGATTGCTGACTTTCAAAATGTTCCTATAGGTTTATCAGGGGAAGAACGTGGGTCGATTTGTAACATCATGACGGCTGTTGAGGCTCATAGAGATACCATGCATAAGCTTCGAGAGGACCATTTGGGTCAAACAGCTGAGATTGAACAGAGAGCACAGAACACCTTCCAGCAGAGATATATGGTAAGCTGACTCATCCCCCAAGTTTTCAGTATTATAACTTAGGGAAAATGAAGTCTTCCGCACTTCTAACCTGTGCAGATTCATTTAAATATTAAATAATGATGCCTTCTGTTACTCGGAAAATAACCAACCATCAAGTCTCGAATGTCATGTTTGTGTAAATATTGAAAATACTGAATCTTCAATTAATAAATGTAATATCAGGTAATGGGAAGAGATATTAAAATATCTAGTGTATCATGGAGCTTTTTTTTTTTTCGATAAAATTGTGTATCATCGAGCTTGAGGTCCAGATTTGTTCAGTTAATTCTAGACCCGTTTAAGCATTCACAAATCACCAACAATCAAAATTACCTTTAGAGCTTGATGGTAAAAAATGTTGACATGTAAAGTACTGTACATCTGACGTCTTGTATCGCTTTTTAACATCTGCTGTTATTGTACATATGTATTTATTTTAGCTTGTCAGTTTTTATATTAGATATTGTTCTTCAATTTGAGTTTCGTTTAAAACAATTTATAAAAACAATGAAGAAACCACACTGGTTTTATACTTTCATTACTATGTATGGAAATTGTTGGAGACAGTTATAGACCAGTTGTCTGATGTTTTCTCGTTGTTAGATCAACTGCAATATCACAAGGTGAACATGGTGAAATGTTTTTTTTTTCCTGTTTTTTCTCTTTATTTGCTTTTGTTATTTTGCTTTTTCTTTGACCAAATAAATCTGCAGGACTATGAACCGACTGGTACGACTCCAACAAGGACTGAACCAGAGGTTCCGACAAAGGGGACGATTGAGTCGTTACGGTCAATGCCAATGGAAGCCCTCCTTGAGGAGTTCCGGGAAAACAACCCGTATGAACCATCGGTTTCAAAGGAGCAAAAGCCTTCTACAATATCACGCTTACCTCTCAGTCAACTCAATTAATGTTGTGATTTTTCTCCTGCCAGATTTCTTTTTGATGTGTAATTCTTCGTAATTTTTTTACCTTTTTATTTCTTGCTTTGCTGTTATTATTGTAATTGAAATGGACGAGAATGGGGGGCCGTGGAGGCTCCTTTGAGGGCCAAAATGGGGTGAGAATTGCTTTTTTGAAAAGTGGGTGAGAATGGTGTATTTGGGGACTTCATCGAGGGCCATTACGGATTTCCGTTAATAAATCTCAGCTCGGGATTTATGAAACAAATGGGTCTGTTGTAATTTGTAAAATTGATGGAAAGCTTCAGAGTTTGGCTTAATGACTGGGTTGTTAAATCTTAAATTATGAACATTTTCTTCTGTTAAATCTTTTGTTGATTCTTTTGAGTATTTATTCTTACATTTTCACCGTTTTCAACCAAATGACCAATTGATTACTTTGTTTCTATTTACATGATCCAAATTCAGAGAGATCTTTTATTTCATTTTTTTTTTCCTTTTTTTTGTAGTTTATTCCATGTTTGGACAAGGTTGCGGGGAATTACGGCTGTGAGGTTGAGGGGGCATTCAAAGAGACCGGAGGAGCAGATCCCATTCTGCATTCAAATAGGTTAGATACCGGATCTGCTCCTCACATAGTGCACTGTGCACCTCATACCAACCTCACAAGCACATCCCATTATGTATCGGGAATATCTCCCGTATTTATGAATTATTATTCATGGGAGATGTTTCAATGCATGGTGGGATGTGCCTGTAAGGTCAGTGTGAAGTGTGCTGAACGAGGAGCAGATCTGATCTCGGGAAGTTAAGGTTTAAAATATTGGTTTCATCAGAATTGGATTTTTCCTTTATTTTTTTTTTGAAATTTTCGTAAATATAGTACATTAAAAAACATACGCATCCAATAACAATTCAATACCATTTCAATTCAAACACCGAAATATATAGACATGCTATTGATTAATTAAATGAAAGAATGCATTCTTCCTAATTTTTTATTTCAATTAGTTCATTCCATGTCCAATGCAAGATATCAGGTATTTTTGCAGATGGAAACTCTCACGAGCAATTTGGTTGAAAATGAAAGAATTGGAAGTGAAATTCTTAATTCCAAAATTTGCTTCCAATGGAGTGGTCCATGTACCGTGTGTCCAAGATAACCAGATAAGAGATTAAAATGGTAGAAAAAAGGAGACGAAGGAAAATGTAGAAAACATAGAAGGTTGGGTACAATCAAGGTTCAAAATGTTGATATGTCCGATATGCTGGTAGGGGTGTATTGGGTGAATCGATACCTTGTTTTTTACTATTTTTTTTAAATTTTTTTTCCAAAATTGGTTTAGGGGGGCCAGTTTAGGGCTCCTCTACCCTTGAATTGGTCAGACTCCCGATACACCCAATGTAGGGGCATATAGGAAGGGTCCTGGAACGATACGTATTGGCCGATACGGGCCGATATGTATTGATATTTTGAACCTTGGGTACAATCTACGAGATGGGCGGCGAAATGAAAGAGGGCGTATGTTAATTAGTTCACAATTGTTTGATTGTATGACGAGAAAAATTAGAAACAGAGGGTGGGTGGTACTGTGGTTCAAAGTTCAAAGTATTGGACATGCTGTGTATGGAAAGGCAAATTTAAGAGATGTATCGAGATAAGCCTTGGATATGCATGGATATGAATGAAAAATGAAGATACATATGGAAATGTTATAAATACTCCAATAAATCATAAATAAACATCAATATCATTAAATATAACACATAAATGAGATATTTATGCATAAAGATAGCATGTTTTAGTGAGTTTTATGAAAAAAAAACATATTATAATCAATATACGGGAAGAGAAACATACTATCTAATAAAGTACTTAATTCATTCCCAATCTTCCAAGTTCCATTCTAATTTTCTAAAATTGAATAGATTTATGGACATAATAGATCAAGTAATTATTTTGCATGTTTCATTCTAATTTTCTAAAATTTAAATAATTATTTGTTTTTATTCAAATAATTATTTTGCATATTTTATTCTAATGATTAAATTAAAATTAAGAAAAGTAAATATGCAACAAAAAATTGAATGGATTTATGGACATAATAAATCAAATAATTATTTTGCATGTTTCATTCTAATTTTTCTAAAAATTAAATAATTATTTATTTTTATTCAAATAATTATATTGCATGTTTTATTCTAAAAATTAGGTTAAATTTAAAAAAAGTAAATATGTAACAGAAAAATTGAATGGATTTATGGAAATAATAGATCAAATAATTATTTTGCATGTTTCATTTTAAAAATTGAATAATTATTTATTTTTATCTAAATAAATATTTTGCATGTTTTATTCTAAAATTTAAACTAAAATTAAAAAAGTAAATATGTAACAAAAAATTGAATGGATTTATGGACAAAATACATTATCCTTATATTTACTGTAAATATTTATTATTAGAATTTAGATAATAGCAAAAAAATAGAGAAATAATTTAATATTTATAATCTAAAAAAAAAACAAATTGATATATATATATATATATATTTATATAATTCCAAAATAAAAAAAATAAAAAACTCAATTATTTAGAAGAAATTTTAATTGATCTATGGGCATGATAGATCATCCATAGATTTACAACATAATCAATTTCTAGAGGTAGATCACAAGAAAACCTAAACTTTTAATTTTTTTTCAGATTTTTTACTATTTTAGAATATCTTCGAATATTCAGAAAGATCTACATATAGCAGCAAAATAAGTGGGATTTTTTGCACAAGAATAGCAGATCAACATACATAAAGTTGCTTTTAAGCATAAAAAAAAACCCAAAAACATTGGCTGAAAATGTAAAAAAATTGAAATCACACACTTATTTTCACTCCATTTTTCACAAGTTGAAAAAGTTGTTGGATTTTGCAAGTTTATAGATGTTTTGGCTGATTTTTACAAGATTTGAGTATCAAGGAAGGTTAAAGAATCTTTTTGGAGGGTTTGGGGAAGGAGGGCTTCTGAAATGGGTTTAGAAACCCTTTCAAAAACCCTCTTTCAAAACCACTTCTATTTACGATTTTCGCAAGACAAAAGTTGTCGTGTATTGGTTGATACATGACTGAAGCTCATCAATACAATATCGATACAATGTCGATATGCCTTCAGCACGACAAAAAGGAATAGTACCACTTATTTGGGACCATTCTCCATGCTGGAAACCCCAATATATGATATGTATCGGCCAATACATGCCGATTACGTGACGAAATTTTGAACTTTGGTCCGATTGGTTGGTTGGTACTTGGTAGGTATATCTGAAGGTGGGTTTTAACCTTTGAATTGAAGGTTGCAAAGAGAAAAAGGAGGATTAACAGATGAAAATTCCTAATTGATTGCAATTTATCTAAGGAGGGTATACTATAAAGTTGTTGGATGAATCACAAGGTCTTGTTTGGGGCCTAATCCATTATAGACTTAAGTTTTAATCTTCAACCTCATATCATCTAGGCAATAAGTATTGATTTTTTTTTATGGTATTTGATAATTAGAATCGATTAAACACAAGGTTTTGAAGTTTTAATCTGGACACAATTACTAAACTTATAAGAAAAACATAGCAGAACTAACTCTGTTCATATATCGAGAAAGGAGCCAGCAAGGATGCTCCACTATCATCAACTTCCCTTTATTACCAACACCATAGTGCCACTTGCGACCAAAGAATCACCTATTTCTAGAGTGTGACACTCATACCTTGTTTTTCTCCGGAAAACCACTTTAGAGAACCACCATTCCCTCTCCCTAGAGATTCCATTTCTTTATTAAATCTCCTCCATAGGTTTCTTGAAGTCAGGCTTTTGGCTTTGTGCTATATGGTATATAAAGGTATCTTGTTGGGAGTTGAATCTAGGGGTATCATTGAACCGGTTTTGGGTTGGACCCATTCAAATCAAAATCAATTTGGATGGACTAATAAGATATATTGAATTGGATCAGTTAGTCTAAACTTAATGGTCCAAAGTATTTATGGGATTGGATTGGATCTGATCCATCTACAATGGATTTATATTGGATTGGGGCAGACTGAGCCAATATCTAGTCTATTAATAGAAGATAATAAGAATACAGGTGTCAATGGACCAGGTTTGGGTTGGAATGAGTCTAAATTAAAACCAATTTGAACAGATAGGATGGTCTAACTAGACATTGAATTGGACTGATCCAAAATGGTCTAAAGTATTTATTGGATTGGACCTGATCCATTTATAATGGTTGAATTACAAAAAAAAGGGGCAAAATAGTCCGATAGTTTGAGAATTTTTAAATGTTTAACAACCACATAATAGTTACATAAGAATCTTTTTAAAAATTAACTGACAGACTGAAATAAAGGGGGCAATGTGTCAAAATCTAACAATTCTAGGGTGTCATTCACAAATACAAATTCAGGGGGACGGCTAAGTGTTACAACCCCAAAGTACAGGGTGGTTTTCTGAGTTATTTATTATTTTGTATTGAATCATTGCAGTAAATATCAATTAATACAAATTATCTTGGATCTGGCTGAAAAAATGGCCAAAAAGGGAAATTCTCTTCCAAACAGGCCTACCTGGAGGCTACCAGTTTTTTGACGTTGTGTCCAAACCTTGCTGCCCAACAGAGAGCTTGCTTTTAGCTAGGTCGGAAGCTTTTCCTTTGTGATTCTGCTGTTAGCCACTTAGCCCCTCTGGGCCTGATACCTTTGGATGCATCAGCTGGTTCAATAATTCTCTGCTGTTGCTGGGTTTTCTTGGAAACTCTAGGCAAGGTCCAGTTGGCAGAATCAATGGCTGTTTATAAAGCTCTTCGGAAAGCGGCCCAAGAACGATGGAGGAACATTATGATTTGTTCTGACACTCAAACAGTGATTCAAGCCCTACAAATAGACCATCGTTCCATCTCTTGGGCCCTTAACTTTTTGCTTTATTCCTAGGAGATATAATGCATTAGAGAATAATAATCTATTCAAGGACCTTTTAGGTTGAATGTTTGAATGGTTCCTTGAGATTGTATTAGAGCTTGCTTGATCAAGTCGCCTAGTGTTAGATTCTTGTTGCCCCATTAAAGTTAATAGATTTCAGCGCAACGTATAAGCTTGTTCACACTTTGATCCTAATGGGCTTTTGTGTGATAGAGAATGCTAGATAATGAAAATCTATTCTAGCATTCCATCTAACAGCTTAAGCCTTAAGGTTGAATGATTCCTTGAGATTATGCATTCATCAAATGGCTCAAAGGCCCCAAACTGCTATATCTTCTGCTTCTCAGCGTACCTTGTTGGATCAGAATCCTAATGGTAGGGGTGTCAACGGTATTCGAA